TAGATATATTGATATTTATATATATATATATATATATATATATGTGTGTGTGTGTGTGTGTGTGTGTGTGTGTGTGTGTGTATGTATGTATATGTGATTTTATAAATAATTTTTTGTTATTATTTGAGGAAATGATGCATAAACTGGGTTAAGTGTTTTAACTGATGGGATTAGTGAGGAGTTAAGTCTTAAGAGGGATATTAGGTCAATTTTTCATTTTTACATTTCTTACTTTTTGTTCATTATACTTTAGACTTTGAAGGGTTGAGAGAACTAGAACTTCTAAAAAATCACCCTGAAGATCAATATTCTTTGTCTAATGTTCACTAGGGTAAGGGAGAGAGTTAGTAGTCTCGCTTTAAGCATTGATCTAACCATTGAGTATATGTTGGATAGTTGATTGATCACAATCTCTTCTATGTTGCATGTGTTATATGGAAGGAAAAATTTCACAATTTACGTGTATCTTGTATTTTTGTCTTATATGTGATTCTTCAATACTCTATTTGATAATATTAACACGAATATAGGTTTAATTTCGTGTATTAGATTAATCTTGTGACTTGCTCAAGGATTCCTGAGAGAATCCTAGAGGAATGCACTGAGTGATATATGAGGAGATGGTATAAAAATATGGTGATGTATGTAATTTGTGCTTTTTAGAAGTATTATATGACCTTTAGAATGCTTTTACCATTTGTAATTGAAATTTGATGAATGATAATAGTGATGAGACTTGTGTTTAATTTGTGCAGGGTGTGTGTTCTCTAATAGGAAGTTAGGTGCTATTTTGAACTTCTTGGACATCATATTGAGGTTGAGAGCAAAGTTTATTCTTTGAGTTATTCGCGTTGGACGTGAATTGATCCACATTGGGAAATGACTCTTTATGGTATTTATGCTAAGTGAGAACTTGATCATATCAAGTGTGGTCCAACTTGAGAATAACATGTACTTTCTGGATGATCTGCATCAAGCGTTGAAGGAATCTCTCCATTGCGTTGGTCGTTGTTTAGTTAAAATATATAACTCTCTTCTTGGATGACTTAATTTTTATTAATATAGATTTATTTTAATTCAATTTTACCTATAATATACGAGATAGAAGGTATTAATATTAATATTAATATTATTATTATTATAATAAATAAATAAATAAACGAGAGAATAATATTTTTAGAAAAGGTAATTTTATGATTAAATTTTATTATTATTAACGATGTAACACACTAATCATTTTCTAAAGAATATTAATAAAATTATAATTAAAAAAATAATTAATATTATATTAAAAAATTAATATAATATTTATTTTATAGTCTTTTTTTTTTTCAAATGTAACGTGGACATTATAAGATAGAGGGAGTAATATGACTATTAAAAAATCTTTTGGAGCTCTTCTATTCTAATATTCCTTAAAAAATGTGGCATGTGATAGATTGAAGGAATGGCGAGTGATTGTATTTAGCAAAAGAAATTGAAGGTTCAGAGCATCCCTCACAATAGTAAAGATTCATCCATAAGGAATGTACCATTAGATCACAATAATTAATTGTTGGATGACAAAGAAACATCTTAGTTTATTAAATGAAATCAATTAGAGAAAGATAAAGTGTGATTAAAGTAACAATTCTCGATATAAGTGTCCCCACTCAATCTAATATTAAAAATGTATAAATATGTTTTTAGTTTTTAAAATTTAAAATTAATGTTTTTCTAGTTTTTATAATTTTAAAAAGTATTTTATTTTAGTTATTATATTTAAATTTTGTTAAACTAATTTATTTTTAATATTTTTATTAGTAAAAATATTATGTTAAATTCAACTGATAACTTATAATTATTTCAATATGTTACTTTCAAATATGTTATTATAATTTAAGAAACTAAAATAAAAGTTTTAAAAATTATAAAAATTAAAAATAATAATTTAAATTTGAGAAACAAAAATAAATTATCATAAATTTAAAAAATTAAAATATATTTAAATTTAAACAAATTTTAGAATAATTTGTTTCCTTAATATATGACCAAAGTAAATTATTTTAAAATCAATTAAGTTAACCAGTAACATACCATTTGAATGATATATATAAAGTGCAAATTTAAAATTTTACTATTATCGATAAGGTTAAAAAAAAATTAACGTTTAAATATTAATATGTTCATAATTTAATATTCATAAATAAATATATATATATAAATATGTGTGTGTGTGTTCTAGTATGCCTAGAAGTCCCACATTGCTTAGGAGTCGATACTAAGGATAATTTATAAACACCCTTCCTTCTTAACCCAACGAGACGCCTTTTAAAGGAAAAAATCGTGACAGCCCAACGAGTGCCAAAGCGGACAATACCTCAGATGCAGTGACCCTAACGATGATAACAGACTAACAGTAGGAACAATTGGCGCTAGAAGGAGGGCCCAGGCCACTCTTGCATCGACTGAGGGGTTTGTTCCGGTATGCCTAGAAGTCCAACATCGCTTAGGAGTCGATGCTAAGGGTAGTTTATAAACACCCTTCCTCCTTAACCCACCGAGGTGCCTTTTAAAGGACAAAACCGTAATGGCCCAACGAGTGCCAAAGTGGACAATACCACGGTGGGCGCCAAATGTTCTTATTGGAGATCGGTCGTGAGGGACGATCTACTGGGCAAGATTGGTGAGCCTTCTTTGCTGGGTATGTCGGCTGCTCCGCAGTGGGGGTGGTACCTGCAAAAAATACTCCGATGCTAAAGTTAGTATTTGATAGTGTAATCGTCTCATATATATAGTGCATGTACCTTGATGTGAATTAGGGTTTTCCTCTTATGCGAGGGTAACGTTGATTTGGGCCTGAAGTTGACCTCGGCCCAATGGATAGTGGGCCTTTTCTATGGCCGATGTCATGCGGCGTATATCCGATGTCATTTACTGCTTTAGTGCCGAGCTCAATCTCGGCTTCTCGATACGGATAGTACACTAACCCCCCGAGCTCTGAAGACCTCGGGTCGAGGAGCTTATGCCGAGTTTGATAGGAGGTCGCGACTCTTCGTCTTTGCTTCTTGGGCGAAATGCCATGTGTCATAAAGTGTCGCCTCGATTCCCGAAACGTATGGGCGGCTTGTAATGAAGGGTGGGGGCTTATAATGATGGGATGCACCTTGTCATTATGAGCTTCATTTAATGCTCTGCCCCCCTTTTTTCATTTTCCACATTTTAAATGTTTGGTCTCTTTTTCTTTCGCGCATTTGCACTTTTTGCCTACTGAGCTTCCCATTCACGCCTACCCTTTCCTCTGCGTCTTTCTCTTTCCGTTCTCCTTTTTCG